TATAAATGATTTGCATTTGCTTCCTGTTGTTTTAAAAGCTGTCCTTAACAAGATTTTCTTGGTGATAGTGCTCTTTGTTTCCACACAGTAGACCAAAGAACAAACTAATACTGAAGCTGAAGAACAATGGCATCAAAAATACAACATCAGATTTGTTTGGAAGGCAAAACACAATATTTATCAGCATATGATAGATTTTAAATAGTATAAAAGTGCTCAGCAGAATGTGAAAGCATGTATTATACTACTGATTTTCATACAGAGAGCTAGCAGCTATTCAAGACACCAAATTGTGAAGTTGTTTTTTAAATACTGTTGTTGCATTTTGAATTATACTTGCTTAAAAGTCTGCTGAAAATAGTTTTCAAGAACCTAATTTATGATGTCAAGTTACAATTAACCAAAATATTTTGAAGAACACAAAGAACCCCTCTAATTAAACCACTTGCATTTGATTATTTTTTTAAAGAAGAATTACACATTTCTTTAAAGGCTCTCTTTTAATCTGGAAGTTTAGACAAATCCATATTTTATTCAGAGTCTCTGCTCAGTGACTACACAGAGATCACCATGCCATGGCGGCATGTCTTCTGCTCTGTCTGTATTACATAATTAATGAAGTTTGTTATGAGGAGTCAGGTGTAATACCTCATCTGAAAGCACTGTGACAAACAAGGTGCCAATAGGAGAGGGGCATGCACTCCCAGCATCCTGTTTGTGAAGTTTTTGTTTTCATTATTTCTGCTTTGTTATGCAGTATTGACAAAGTCATTTTTATCTGAGTAAAAAGCAAAGAAAAATTAGGAAACTTTCCATGAAACCTCTTACTGCTGAGATAGTATAGTAGGTGCCTAGGAGAGATTACGGAGCTTTGAAAAGAGCAGGCAGCTATTTGCATTGGGATGAAATCCTGTGTACTGAGGAGCAGAATAAATCAGGACACACTCACATCTCTGTCTGAAACTGTAGTAGCTAACTTAAGCTGTTCCCTTCACCTGTGCACAACAGTGCAACACTAATCTCCACTTTGTTTACTCTAAAAAAGAAGTTAGAAGTGCTAGCATCTCCGACTGGCACAAAACTAGAGCAACAGCCCTGTAGAAGAAGCACAGGGCTACCATGCTCCCTCCAGATCCCATGGGCAGAGAGGCCGAAAGGAGTAGATAACGCTGTGACGGCAGTAGCAGGAATAACAGACCATTATACACCAATAGCCTTTCCTCACTCAAAACTAGTCAAGGATGGAGTAGAACGATTACCACCAAAGCAGAAGGTCTCCAGCTTGCACTGCAGACTACAGCAAGTCTGAGAACAGTGCCAAGTGGTTTGCAATTAAATGAAACAAAACAGCAAAAGAAAGGGATTTTTCCCCGCCTCCCTCCAAAAATACCCTAAGCGTTAGGCAGTTCCCCTATCAAAGCAGGACTTCCTGTGCCTGGTTAAGCTGAGTTACTGCTGAAGCGACGGGACAAATCCCTCTTCCTCAGCACCTACATTTCATAGTGGCAGTAAGCAGCATCGTTTTCGTTTATATTGCATGAGAAGACAAAATGATAAACAAACTTTAAATTATACGATTTTTCCTATTAAGAATAAAAGAGTATTGAAGGAAATAAATCTTGGAATGTTTTGACATTTTCAGGGAACTATTTTTATTAAAGAAATGTAGGTACACAACAAAAAGAAGTGCTCAATTTCACAGTGCACAAAGAAAGTGGGCTGGCTGATCTCTCTGGCGTAAATCAGAAACAGCATAATTTACAATAATGGCATTACACCAGTATGTAAATTAGCAAGAGCTAAGTTCAAAGACTATAACAGAAGACTCTGCTTCTCCTACCACAAAGGAAAAAGATATTATTTAAAAAAAGACATTTTTCCTTTGAAATATCTTACATTGGCCAAAAAACTCAACAAGTAAACAAAATCTTTGCATTTCTTCTAAACATTCAGCAGAAAAACTGAAGCTAGATGTTTCATTAGTATTTGTCTGGACATGTATAGAAGTATTATGCCAGTAAGAGCTTATCAGACTGTATTTTTATAAGTTTTCATTTATTTGTTTTTCAACTACATTTCTATATGTAACCCTCTCCTACATTCATGATAACGTTAATAGAAAACAGGTAATTATTTTATCCATTTTTCATTCTTTTAATATCTAAATCTATAGTACTGGTAAAAAAAAAAATTGGTTTGCAGACTTACAATAAAAAATTAAGAAACATTAAATCACCTGTAACACACTAGCAGGCCATGACACTCAGTTATGACTAAATGCTAGCACATCGGTTAATTAAGACAGGATGGTTCTACTTTTCAGGTTAGAGGAAAGGGAATAAAATCACATTATTTTATTACTAAGAAATTATTAAGAAACACTTAATGTCTGGCTCTATTCAAATTCAGAGTCACTTTGCATAGGTTCAAACCAGTATTCACCATGCAGAGAACTAAGCAAGGACAACTGCATTAAGCAGTTAAATTAAGCAAATACACTGGCCTACATTCCCTAGCTATGCTTTTGCTCACCAAACGGAGCACTGGTACGACTGTGTGGCAAAAGCGTCTCAGATGGGGCTAGGTGATTCTGGCTTGTGGGAAAAGGAGGTGCTTTCAGTGGCACTACGCAAACGCAAGCGTTACTTCCTGGACCCCACCAAGTTCCAGATTCTGCTGTTCCGTAATGTTTGCAAAGCTGCCTCGTCCGACTTTCTGGGGAACTAATGCTGGAGTTCATTAACAGCTTCAGCTGGCAATTCCCCTTTCTCGCTCCAAACGTGTTTGTCGTCACAAGGCAGTCGAAACATGACGTAGCATTTCTGCATTTTTTCCACCGTTTCCCCAGTGTATCTAACTATAACTGTCTTTAGGGTTTAATTTGGGTATCGATTGAGTTTCCAGCTTACAGCATAACACTACTTATGGCATGTCAGTTGTGTCATCACCATTGATTCACTAAGGTAAAGATTAAGGAAGGCAAATACTGTTTATAGATATTCTCTTCATTATTACAAGTTAGGCTGGACAGATCCTACTTTGTTTTTGTTACAACTTTTACTTAGGGTGAAAATCAAAACAGAGCCCAAAAAGCCTGAAGAGATTAAGCATGCTGCGTGTGAACTCTTGCACAAAGAGTGTAACTGTTGAGCTGTAGCAAGCATTTCTTCTGATGTGGGTGTATGTATCCAATACAGACAGCCTAGCAATGAAGGATAATGCAGAGACACCCAAACTAGCTTCAGGAGATGCAGAAATTAATTTTCAGCATGGTGGCTTTGATATTCATGATGTCTAGTTTACCATGGTGAGAACTAAAGTGAATATTCTGTGCAGACTCAACTCTCTTTCTACTCAGCAACACAGCCATTGCTAATGCTCTTCATTTTCAAAAGCAGACCTTTATACACTACCAGGCTGAACACTGGAGTTAACACATGCTACTCCTTATTGGGGCCAGACAATGAACAGGAAAGTTAAAATTCTGTCTTATTTTTTCATTTAAACTCAAGTTCATTTACATTTGCACTTTCAATTGTATAAGAACTACTTCCCCTATAGAAATGTCTGCATAGAAGCCCTAAAAACTGGGGGTGGGGAAGACATTCACTCATATCTTTGATATACAGAGAAGACAGCAGTACCGTAACACTCTGCATTTTAGCATTCTGGTGCTGAGAGCACAAAGAAATTGCCCTCAGGAGTTTGAGTATCACAGATTCATGGCACAGCCCAGGAATAACTCCTCCAAAACTTCTAATGAGGATCTATCCAAACTGGCTTACTTACTCATTTCCCTGCTGACACCACACTGCAAGTTGTTATCGTAAGATAAGATGCCACTTCCTTTTTTTGCTTTCCTTAAAAGCTGGGACCCAAATCCAAGTGTCACCAACAGCCCCACTGGCTCACCAGTTTCCTGTGAAGGTGTGGAGCATCTCCCCAGGACAAATTAGTCTGCAGCCTTGCAGTTCTGAGTTGTACTGAACCATAAGTCTTGCCCTTCCCTTCTCCCCTTCTGGGTGGGGTCAGGTGAGTGGGTGGGAGAGCTGGCGCTTTGCTAATCTCTGCTGCAAGAAGTGAATAAGCTTTACATCCCTTCATTCAGCTTCTTCATTCTGTGATTCCTAACGGATAGTCACATCTTTGCCACTAATGCAATTCAGTACCAAGCTACTGTTTCAGGGATCAGAAAAGTCTCTTAGAATACCATCAAATACTGCTGTAAGAAGCATTCTGCTTTACTTCCATGCCTTCGTTAACACAATGGTCACATGAAAGTTAGTATTTCTGTATCTATAATACTGTGATACACCTGTTTTGAATTATTGCTAGTTAGCTATTACCAACATAACTGCTCACTAGCACCACTATGCTGCACAAACATGTTGAAGCACGGTCTTTTGATATTCATTTCTTCTTGGAGACTCAGATGTGCCAGACCACTAAGAAATTATGGGAATTGCTCAGTGCATGCTACTGAACACTGTGGTCTCCTTGAAACAACCAGAATAGAACAGATTTAAGAAAAGAAACGGCATAGCCTAGAGTCCTTGTTCATGGTGAAAAAGTACACAGAGCAACACATTACTTCCTCAGATGCCCAGATGACTCAAATTAACAGTAGAAACCACCCAGCACAAACATTTACCAAAACTGTTAAAACTGATAATAAGATCTACTGGGGAAAAAAAAAAACAGAAGAGGAAAGATATATATATATATATATGCCAAGTCAATGGGAGCTGTTAGGGGTTTTTTTGGACATTTTAGAAAAGTTTTCAAAGGACAACATAATTACATTAGTAAATACACTATAGAACATCTTGCAGGTGTTTTATCTTGTAATGGCTAATAAGATTAAATCATCAGCCTAAAGCACAGACTTTAAAATTTTTTAAAAATATTTTTAGCTTCTGTTTCTGAAAAAAATATATCTAAATCACAATTATTTTTGAAAATTGATCTTAAGAATTTAAAAAATATATGTTATTTCTTACCTATAAATGGTATGGGGAACATACACTTCTCTAATTGGGAATTCCAAAATCTCTTTGTGAGGACGATTACGGTTTTCTGGAAATGGCTTGACTGGTAGTAATTCTGGTGTCAGACAATAACCAAGGTTTTCTGGAGCTGGGGAAATCTCCAGTTTAAGTGTTCCTTTAAAAAAAATCACAAAATCTCAGCAAAAATATAAAAAATAACCAACGTATAATAGAACAAAATGAAAACAATATGTGAGGTTACACAGTAACAGTGCAGAAATAAGAACTGGATCTTTGACTTGAAGACTGCATGAGGATGAAAGCATAGGTGTAGAAGGATACTCAGGAAGTAACCTACACACATCCCTACACATCAGGCCAATGTATAGCTCTTTATGTCTATCCTGTACAATTTCAAAGAAACAGGAAAGAAAGAATGAATGCTATATGCTGGGTTGACGTTCTAGTATCTTTCACACATAAATAATAATAAGATTTGTCTGGAAGACAAAGGATAAAAGGGCTGCTGTCTAATACAGTTCTCTCTCACTCCCACCACTCAAGATTCTGCTCTGCTTAATCTCTGCCAAAGTAGACACCACCCACCAGGAAAGCCAGGCTTGCTGTGGTGAGCAGTTAAACAGTTAATACTGGTAACATTTACCCAAGTATAACTAGACTTTCAATTTAAATCCTCTGTTGTGATAAGTGAAAACTGGGGAACTCAGACTTGTCATTTCTGGCAATCAGCTAAAAAGGCAAAAGAGCTCTGCACTCAGTTCATGTTTTTTAAGGTTCCTCTACAACCCAGAAAAGCTTGAGCTGTAATTTATGTAAAAAGAAAAAATAAGCTGGTCAGGTTTTTGACAGTAGCCAAACACTATCTCTGCTTCTCTACTTTGTTAGTTAACACTGACCCAAATACCCAAATAAGATGAAATGTGTACACATTTTAATCTCCCTCTGTAAAATGTAAGCCATTTAAAAACACTGCAGGGAAATAGCAAGGATCTTAGAAATCTGCTTTAAAGCACTGTCTTCAAACAGTTTGAATAATAACAAAAGGCATCCAGTAGATACACTGTAAATTAGGGAGGAAAGCAAATAATTTTAGAATATCAAGCTAAATATAAATCTCTGTACTCACTCATACAGAAAAAAACTCAAAAGCATCTGTGGTCAGGTAGACACTGGGAACCGAAGAAGTTCCACAATAGCAGATACTATAGACTTAAAACCCAAGTTAATTATATTTTGGGGTTGGAATTTACAGAACAATTTAGGGCTGAAAAGTACATATATCCTTTTCCATCCAAAATGAATTATGTACCTGGTAAAGTCTTAATTCTTCTCTGCAAGGAAGACGATCTTTTGAAATCCGCTAAAAATTTGAACAGATCTTCATCACTGAGCCTGTCTCCTTCCTACCAGGAGAAAGACAAAAGTCAGTACCTGTGTAACAATACTCCATAACACTGATAAAAGCTTCTGAGCGAACCATGTCCTTGAGGCATGCAAAAGCAAGTGGGTTACTGCCTACTTGACAGCAGTTATCTTCTGTTCCCACATGAACATCACTGGTAACTTTTCCCAATGCAGTTCACATTACATAGATGAAAAATGTCTTAGGCAATCAGAAATAAAGAATATCTAGTACCTGTTTAAAGAAGGTGCTGAGGGTCAGAGAGATTGTTTTGAAGTTTGATATTGGATAGCTGTCCTCTGAGCTGAGACTTCTCTCAGAAAGTCTTCTCGCCTGTAGCAGTGTTGCTCTCTTGTCACTAGTGGATCCTTTCCCTTCAAAGGGAAATTAAATGAAACATCAACTTGCTTTGTGTTGCTTCAGTACAAAGACTATCAGAATACACTAGAAATCCACAACTTCCCAGCCACATCAGAGGATAGAGTACCTAAAACATTCCACTACTTTTATTTCAGACTATGTGAAATAGTGGAATGCCAGGACACACTTAGTGAAGTGACATTATTTCTGCTGCAGAGCACAAGCTTATGCAAATTTTTAGTTCATGGGTTATAAAGCGTATTTGTCAACGTTGTTGACCAATGGTCCTGTATACTCTAGAAACTGAGGTAATATGTATTTTGACTGCCCTGTATTTCAAATGAACTCCATATGGCAAGGGGAGTTTTACTTCTGCAAAGCCAGTTTTCAACAAAAATTGGGCTTAAAACATGAAATAATATTTAGCATAGACAGCTACCATTTAAACCTTCAGCCTCAGGTATTTCTCGTTCAAGTGTTGAAAGGTTGAAGAAATTAGTTAGGCTTATGGGAATCCAGGCGAATGGCATTCTGTATTTCCCCAACCGCTGACAAAAGGATTCAGCTTGGACTTTCAGTTTTTCAATCTTTTCTTTTGTCTAAGACAAAGAAAATAATGACTGTTTAAAAAGCAATCAGTTATTTTAATGCTAGTATAGATAAAAAATGAAAATTACATATTTACAGTTCAGTAAATAATTTGCATTCTTATCTCTCGTGTTTTCTTGCTACATCACTGTCAGGATCATAGCTGTTTTGATTTGTACATTCACTTCTCATTTCTTTTCAATGAGTTTATTTTCATTATAGAAAAGGAAAACGCAGATCTTTTTGCAGTGACCTTCAAGCCCAGCATGAACTATCACCAGGAAACATTAGCAGGTTCTACTTCCTTCATCAGATGCAGAAACAATATTCTGCTGAAAGCAATATTCTGAAGGTGAGAGACATGTGGAAGTCCAGCAAACATTGTCAGTCTGCTCCAGGGAGGTAAATGACCATGAATTCCTTGAACAGAGCTCATGTTGTCTATGGATGACAGCACTGAACTGGCCATGTACACACTACAACAGGTTGTTTGCCCATCCAAATCAGTAACATGTCTCTGAGGTACAAATATTTCTGCTAACTCCACATTGCATTGTCATCTCCTTTGCTCACCCCTATCTGCTTCGTGACTCAAGACTTTGTCAGTATTGATTTCCAAAGGGGTCAATAATGAAAGTGCACCTTGCATCATCATGACTTCTTCCTGTCGGTCAGTCACCAGACTGCTTGCACCATGGATGCACCAACTGGCTTCCTCCCCAATGATGCTGGGATTCTGTCCTATTCCAAAGGGTCTGCTCTTTCTCTGTTTTTTTCTTGTGCATGCATTTTTTGATCTAAACACTCTTTATAGTTATTTACCTACCTTGCCAGCCTCACTTTCTTTAAGAACCATGTAGGGTTCTGCACAGTCTCCAATTTCTCCTTGCTGAAGCACTTTTTCTATCTACAAAAAGCAGTAAAATAAGACACTTACAAAGAAAAAATATTACCCAAATAGTAACATGTTCCTTCTCTAGCAATACGAAAGAGCCCACCCAAATGCGCAATATCGAATTCTTAAAACTGTCTTTATGGAGTAACTGATATTAAACCTTCTCCTAGTTTTCCATCTGGTTTGTTGAAAAGCAGAAAATACATATGTGACAACACTGTCAAGCAGGTACTACTGCATTTTCACTGAAATTAGGAAAATTAACATATTCCAAATGAAGTGGTTCAGGCTAACTCAGTTTCAGAATTAAATAAACAAAATGATGCAAAGTGCACTAACCCAAAGCCAAAAAACCTCCACAGAATGTAATTAAAATTTTAAAAAATGGCTTATTTCACTTTGCTTTAAATTTCCCTTAGGCAGAGATAGGAAATTCTAAATACTTAGTAGAACTAGAACACAGGGTATCAATACTTGGGAGTGAGACATACCAGTGGACACCTGCACATGTACTATCAAAAACTATCAGAATTCATCTCAGCTACAGGAAAACTCATGTTTGTCAGCTACACGAACTCAGACAACAGGCGCAGCCAGGAACAGGAAGAATGGTGTTGAAGTAGCACTGTAACATACCTTTATTACTAAGTATATATCCGATGAGGGATAAGTGACAGAAAATACTGCCGATCTTGCCTGAGTAGACAAGTCAATGGAGGGTGTATGAGAACGCAAGAATCCTCTTAATGAATCAGGGTTGAGGTCACAATGAAAATTTTCTGAGATCTTGAAAAGAAAAAGAATTAAAATGTATTGCAAAGCAAAAGTTTTAAAATAAGTCAAAAGTAGTAACTCGAACTACAAAACAAACAATTGCAAGCATGTGACTTTGACTGAATAAAAAGAATCCTGGATCAGAGTGCATGTGTGAAAAAGCTGCATGTTTTTTGTAAGTTTTCCTGAATTATTACTCCAGAGATAAAAACCCAAGCCACCTGAACAAAAATACTGTATGCGCACTTACTTACTTTTTTTCTTTCTTTTATATCATAGAGAGCTATGCATGCGAACAAAGGTTCGATCTCTATATCAAACCTGTTAAAGAAAGACACACAGGACACTGATTAATACTGCACTCTTATGACTCTGTATAATAAAAAAATGAAAGGGCTATATTTCAACTGACATACAATATTTAGTTCCAGACCTCAGCTCTCTCAAAGCCTGGAGGATTTTTTTATTGGTGTATTTTGTTAGATGATTTGAAGAGGAAAAGAAGGGAAGTAAACTGCATGCAATGTATTTTCTAAATTTGTCAGAAAGGTGGTCTCAAATATCAGTTAAAAATGATCATACCTTTCTTGAATTTGTTTTCCGTTTATCAAGTCCAGTAGTGTGTACAGAGACCAATCTAGTTTGTTGGAAATACATAATTTGGGCTCATTCCCAACTCCTTTTCACCCTGACAAGTTAAAGACTTCTGTAATGATGGATAGAAATAGTCCTTGCTACACTAAGAAATAACAAGCAAGCATGTAAACACTTGCTGAGCGGGACATCTGAAGAGGTGTAGCAGGGTCAGCAGCAGTACACTGGTATGAACTGAGAAATGGTGAGCGAGGCTCGTGAAGGATACTTACTTCAAAGTCTGCAGCTTCACCAAAATCCTGTTGCCCAGATGTTCCTTTGGGCGATCTGGCACCGGCCGTATCTCCACTGCATCTTCCTATCATTAAACAGTTATTCTAGTCATACTCAATTAAAACAACCGTAAATTTACATACTTGTGTAAAACCTTTATGTGACGTTAACTGGGCCACTGCTACAGACTAGCACCTTCCCCCACTCAGCAGGCAATTTCATCTCCTCAGAGATGAAAGAAAATTGATATATATTTCTGAATATTTACACTTCTGGCCCCTAAGCAAGAATTACAGCGAAAGGTAACACCCTGACACAACCGTGTCACCAGCACGGGGCTTGACCCGCACCGAGGGGGGTGTAACAAAGTCTCAGGCCACACCACGAGTGCGAGTACAACCCCCTGAATGCACGTTCAAGATAGCTGACAGGACCCCACGGTGATGTGCCTTCACCATGTTATTATCCAAAGGAGACAGGTATCCAGGCCACAAACCCTGTTTTTCGACCGTGGTGCAGCTTTAACCTTAAACATGCTGGGACAGCCAGCTCGGGAAGGCTTGTGGGCCAGTCAGCCTCCAAGCTCACCTCATCGACGGAGGGGTAGAGGGCGAGGAGCTCGGCGTGCCTGTTGGTGCGCCGCGCCTCCTCGTTCTGCCTCTCAAACTCCTCAGCGCTGACGTGCCGCAGCAGGTTTTCCAGGCGGGGGTCCGGCTGCAGGCTGCGCAGGTCGAAGTCAGAGGAGGCGAGGGTCGTCCTCGAGGCCTCCTCGGGGAGCGCGTAGACATGTCGGGGTCCTGCCTGTTGGAAAACAACAAAATGGCGAGCTGTGGCTTGGACACTCGGGTGTCATGAAACGTGTCTTGCCTGTCTGGCAGAGAGGGCCTTAACGCCACCTCTGCCATGAGGCCTAACGGCAAGCACAGCTCTCAGCTTGACGCCATTACAGAGATCCTAGGATGCTTCCTTTGAGGAAAGCTGCTGTATTTGATCACTTTTCCAAAGTGAAGAAAACGTACCTGAAAGTTTGCATCGCTGGAATCCAATGTTTCCGATTCAAATGTTTGTTTTTGAAGCGTCTTGTGAAAATCTTTTCGGGATCCCTTGTTTTTCAGGCTACAAGTATCTGAATTCCCTTGGTTCCTTTCACAGAGAAGCCCGAGCAAGTCAGGACAGCACGAGGAGGAGTTAAGTGAAAATGAAACAGAAAAGACAAATTTAGAAAATATTAAGCAACTGGAAACATTATTGTGCAAAAAAGTAGCGTAGCACAGCTTTTATGCAAATATGTGTCATTTCACAAAGTTTAATTGTTTTATCACACCACTGCAACTCTATCATGTATATTAAGAATTCTTTTAAAAGAGCGAAAATGCGTTCAGATCACTTTTGCACAGACTGTGAGCCTGAGACAGTAGCAAAACCTGACCTAGGTACAAATTCAGCTCTGAGCTCCTCATCAGACACGGTGATTATTTCAGTGACCTTAAGAACATGGATTGGGATTGCTTATCTCTTGGCTGGCTCTTTGCTCCTGCAATTATACATCAGTGAGCTTACTGCTCTTGTCCTGGACCTAACAGGTATCCCAAGTTAATCCCATACAACAATCTACACCTTTCAAACAGTGCCTGTTTTTGAAGAGGGCTATTGCTATGGCACAGTGTAACCCCCTCTGCTAGCAACTTCCCAAAATTTTGCAGCAAGGTACCAATTTCAAGTTACATTTTTGTGGCAGATGGAAAAAATCAGCAGGTACCCTGAAAAAAGATACCAGACGCATCCAGAGCTCGATTTCTTCCACTGTAGTATGCAATTTGTTAAATCCTGTGATGGTCTTTTTGCAAACAGCCTCCTTAGTTACAGTATCCTGCTTCATTCATTTTCCTTTCTGTAACACTCCCAAAGCAATGTCTAAACACCTGAGTACTTTCATAAAGATGCCATGATAAGCAATTATTGATCAGGGAGACACCTTTTTATTACATTTTGGGAGTAACTTAATTATATGCTCTGATGTGTTTTAATTTTAATTGTTTGCATTTTAATTGTTTACCAGTTCACTGCAAATGAAAACTGAAGTCATAAAAGAGACAATCCCAGCTCTCCTTGGATGTGACCTTGTTTTGGAACCACCTTAATCACCCAGAATGAAATACATAAATTCTGCACAAGTTGAGTTTAAGACATTTCAGCATCCAAAAGAGGTTTTGTTGATTATTTTTTTCACTACCTCTGGTGGCAAACAAGTGATTAATGGAGAGATTTATGTGCCCGAGATCACACTTTCCCTGTGGTGTACAAGCTACATTAGAGATGCCTTTCCCTAAAGTATTCCTGGAAGATTTATTTATATTGTTTATTTATTTTGAAAAGCATGGTAACAATTAAAACTCACCAAGAGGCAAACCCTGCTTTTAGCGCACATGTCAATTTAATGGCCACACACTGAATTAAGAAGATGGGATGAGGAAAAGGAAGAAAGGACAACTGAAAGGAGAAACTGACAGGCACAGGAACAAGCCTCCAATTCAGCCTCTGGCAAAAACACATGGACCCCTCAGCTGTGTTCAGTCCCTCTGTCACATACCTCTCTGCCCTGGGGCACGAGGACCACCTCTGCTTATGCCACCCACTGAAGACTCTTCAATCTCCTGTTCTGAACCTTCACATCCATGAATGGATGAAAGTCATTTACACACTCCTCTCATCCATAGCTCACCAGACCATACGTTCAGCAACCTGTCCTACGAATCTTTGTCTCCCAAGTAGGCAACTACAGTTTTTCCAGACTTTCTCAAAACAATGCAAGGCTTTCTACAACTACAGTTTCTCACCTCCCTCTTGATGTCTTTTCTTCCTCTCTAATCTGTTTTGAGAATAGTGTCCAAGCATAACACGAGGCTCCCAATAACAATCTATCACTGGTTTATGTGACACTGCAGCGCCTTTTATGCTGTCTTGTTCTTTGCAATTTTTAATAACTTGCTTGCTTTGTTAGCCACAGCCATCAAAGCTCAGCTCTCTGGCAGGGCCCTTCATCATGTTTACCACAGACTCAACTGCTCAATAAAGTTTTTGAATGCAAATTTGTCTTACCTGAATGAATGAAATAGTAAAACACATGACAAATCTTTTCACACATGTGTATTTCTACGGCTCCATTCACATTTCTACAAGCACGTGTTAAGTGCAAAAATAGCTATGATGTTCAATTTTTCACCTCACCTACTTTACTGCTCGCTCCCCACTCGTGTGCTCGGACAAAGCTGCACGCTGGCTCTTTACAGCGCACTCAGAACAACACTGCGTGAAAGAGCTAGCGCCCGTGCTCTGAGCGGTGCAGGTGGAGAGCCTGCAAAACCCACTAGTTTATTTTTAGTGACTCACTGTGGAACAGTTCTGAGAACTCAATCAATTTCATCAGCACCCCCGGAGGAAGTCTCTTTAATAACCCTCAGCGGCTGCTCTGCCCCTGCACAAGCTGCACAGTTAAATAATGCAATTCCTTTACAATCACCAGGGGTCAACCCATAACGCACTGACTGCTGATGTACATCAGGTCAGAAAAAGAAAGTATCAAGGGAGGGCAAAGGGGCACAACGAAATGGCAGCACGTGTGCCAGCACTCTACCATCGGCTGCTACTACTGCTTCTCAAGAACAGGGCGTGAGTGCAGGCGGGGATGAACAGGAAGCGGCGCAGAAAAACAGAGCTCCAAAAGCCTCCTTCTGAAGAATAGGAGAGTTCCCTTCACATTTAAATACATAAAATGAAATGAAATGAAATGAAATGAAATGAAACGAAATGAAATGAAACGAAATGAAACAAAACAAAATGAAACGAAATGAAATGATAAAATAAAATAAAGGAAATTAAGTCACTTGTAATGACCATAGGTCTAATTCTGTGTGTTGAATCACACTGACCCCAAATGCAGAAATCACTTACTGATGTAAAATAGTGAAGTTGGATGTTACACTAATAATCCCATGAATACAACCAATCACTGCTGGGAAAGCTCATAATCCTTGGTTTTTTTGCTACTAGCACTCCATTTCGTTTTCAGACACCATTAGAAATAAGATCATGTTCAATTTTCAGGGCATGGAGGGGAAAATGAAGAGCATACAAATGCAATCTTTATCCCTGTTATCTTTCCTTTTAGTGTGATCAAACAGTAGTAGTATTCCTGATTTAGATAAATCATCATTACAGACAGTTGATGTGAATTTCTTCCCAATTAATTCCCAGAGTGCCTGATATTTAAAAAGCAGATGCAACAATATTTAGCTGTAGCCCACCAGCTCAAACAAAACAATATTGTTATATATACTACTGAAAAGTCAGTTCTTGTCTTCAGTCACTGATTCAAATCATTATTCTTTAGGATTATTTATAACAGCATGCGTCTCCTCTCTGACAAATAAGATGCAAGGTATTTTCTACTTTATTTACTTGTATGTAGCTTACTTTCGATTCACAATCAGCCACTCCCGGATATACGTCTGAACACAGTCTCTGACATGCGAGTCCAGTTCAACCCTGGGGAAAAAGCAATGTATTGTAAATATTTTAGTACCTAGGTCATACCTTAAGGGCAAAGCAATTTATCTAAACATGCTGTTCAGATAAAGGCCTCTCTATTAGTCCTCTCCTGTATATTTATTTTACTGCTAAACTATTGTTTGAGGTTTAAAGAATTCTGTGTACTGCATGAGGTCCCTGATGCAGGTTTTTGTCACTGTGTTTATAAATTAACATACATTTAACAGAGGTAACCATTTGCCACACTACGCATTTCATGAAGACCAATGTTTCTATAAAATACAGCAAAACAGAAGAAACTATACCATCTTTGTGATTTTCAAAACTTGATAACAAGTCTCAACATATAGAGGTATTTTTCCAAAGGCCTCAGCTCCTGGACTCTTGCAAATACATAGCCTCTTATATGTTTTTGGTGTGATTTTCTCTTTCTCATAGAAATGAAGAAAATCCTAAAAAGGGACTCTAAGCTTTTAATCAGATAGCATAACAAAACTTTAAGATCTAAGAATATGTTATAATTTAATTTTATGATTTTCAAATAAGTGTCATTTAATGTAGGGGCTTGTCAGTGCTGCCTGATAGACTGGATACTGATTGGAACTGAAATATTACAAGCTAAAGTCGATGACTGTGAATTTGCTGTCATGATGTTGTAGCATAATTCCCTTTTCCCTACTCTAAAAAATTTTACTGACCTGTGCCAAAATCACTTGTTACGTCCTCTGATCCAAGCGAGTAAAAGAGTAGGATACACATGCAAGGCAGGAATGGGTGAAAGGTATGATACTTTTTAGCACTTTCCACCCAGAACTCTTAACAGATTTGCAACCAATTACCAAGACCGGATAACAACTGATTTGTGTTCATGCGTGCACGGCAGGACAGAGCCTTGGCCGATACCAGACTGCTGTGTGCCCCGCCACCGGCGGACTGACGCAGCACACGGTCACTTCCTGCATCTGGTTCAAGTGGGACGTATGTTTGCAAGCAGGCAGCACGTTAACCCAGGTTGGTCGGTGGTATCTGTTTCCTGCTCTAGGTGCAGGAAGACACCACAGACTGCATCGCCTGCAGGCGAACCTTTGGTGCGTGCCCCTCCTGTGCTTTCATCTTCCCTAACACACACTGGCATCCTTGACCAGGATTTTCTGTGAAAGCACTAATATCAATAACGGTGGCGTGAACGGCTAAATGGGAAGCTGCTGTGTAAAAAAAATCTGCTGAAAGCATATTTGTTGGTATTGACTATTTGAGCTTTGCCACAGACTCCTTACAAAACCCTTAATGTCACTGTGGTGCAAATCAGGCCTAAAATTGATTGTACGGTGTGAGTCTACACGTTCTCCTACTGGAAAAACAAATAGATAACTGCTGTTTTAAACAGCAGGCATGTTGGGAAGTAACCTTGGAAACAGGGGAGAAATGGTCATCTTATCTTTTAAATCTCATTTCAAAGTTGGATAATTTTTTTACTATTTTTATCCATCGTTTAAATAAATGAGAACTTCAAGCACCAAAATACTCACTGTCTCCCACATCTATTCTCTCTCCCCGATCCACAGGAAAACAAGAATTCATGATAAAGATTGAAACATTTTCTACGAGTAACTTCAAGTTAAAATCACCTTTTGTGCAAATGTTACAAAATCCCCTAGGAGCTGTATGATTCAAAGAGCTCTCAGGTGACGTAGCATGGCACCTCGTCTCTACCGCCTTTGCTCTCCTGAACTTCCCAAGAGATGCATTGGGCCAAGAAGGAACTTGCAGGCTGAGATCTTGCTTAGAGAGAGAGGGGTTCTCAGTAGTCCACAGCTGACAAAAATCACATAAACTGTGGTTCCTGCTTAGCCTCATTGCATTCGGTATGTTGGGCAGAGAACACTGAACAAATACCACTGTTGTATAGGGCTCTAGTTTATACAGCCGGCCGGTATAAATTAGAGCAGGCTGTAACAACTTCTGCAGGAACAGAGAGGGATGCAGGTCCACCCTGCAAGCCAGGACACCATAAGCTAAGCCTATTTGTCCCTTCAGTGTTCAGGTTCAGCACAGCAGAGAATATAGACTGTGCCGTTCATTTCCTGAGTATACTGGAAGGAGACAGCCTCCCATCCCAAGCATGTTGCACCGCTAGCCGTCTTTGCAGACATAGCAGTTTGGGGCTAAACTGGTGCTGACTTCACGTTTAACTGTCTGTTACTGCTTGCAAAACTCAGTAGGCCTTTGTGGTTCTACCTGAAGGTTACATTTACAGCAAAACAATCCTTGAAGAGTATTTTGTATACAATGCCTGGGACTCTCCTAAACCGCATCAGAAAACTCTCAAATGCATCCCTTTATCTCATTCTGAAAAATTCTGTTGCCCATAGTTTGCCTGTTTATCAAACAAGGATGGCCAAGCACCAGTATCAACACATGCTACCTATTTTAATTTAAAAGCTGTTGAAAATAGCGGAACTATTTCATTGTCAGCCTGAAACCGGAAGTGACTCCTACACTAGAAATTAACACTTTTTTTTTTTCCCCAAACCTTGTGAAGTATGAACTATTTCCCCCCCATTTAAGCAAGAAAGGTACTGAGAAAGAGATGCTTAGTGATCTGATCAACGCCATGTAACACATAGCTGGCAAAAAAAAAAGGGAAAAAACCCTCAATCCTGTGCTTACTACATGATCAGAATCAACTTCCAGCTCTGGGATCACAGCTACAAAATTATTTTTCATACTACCCTCCTGCCCTTCTTTACTCTTCTTCCTGGTCTACGCCTACCTCACTTCTGCCGCTACCAGCTAGCTCAGGAAGTCGTGTAAGCGCTTGCATAATTTTAAGTGTGCAAACAGGCCTAACAGAATCAATGGCAAAGTTCAAATGTTTAAAGTTCGGCAAGTATGTAATGGCTGGATGGATGGCAGAGTGAGGTGTCTGGATCAACATCTTCAAAACTATTTTTAAACCTGCAGCATTTCAGAGGGAGAGAAATTCTCCTTACCCATCTTCTGGCAGAGAGGGTTGCAAAGTCCTGCACTCTTTGGGTGTAAAGACAATGTCCAAGTCATCTTCAGGAAAGTCACCAAGTTCTTGCGCTAGTTCTGAGTCCAAGTTGTTCAGCCGCGTCATTAGGAACCCTTCAAAATCTACTGGGTCTACTGCGTCATAAAAGGAAGGCTAATGGAAGAAATAAAGAGGTGTTTATTTCAGCAACAGAAGGTTTTTCTTAATAGTATAATTTAGGCTTATTCATTTAATTCTTATCATTGTCCCATTATTTATTAAACATTGGAAACAGACTTCTAACCTTATATAGAGTGCCACTGCATTTATTACAGGGAAAAGTTGCTAATGAAACATTCAGCTGAAAAAAGAAAGGGAACAAAGAGAAAAGTTTTAAAACACAAAGAAGAAATGGAAGATACTACACCTAAATCCAAATTTGCAGCTATTTTCTTTGTTGAGCTTTCCTAGATGCTGGTAGAAGGAGGGCTGGCTGAGGTACACCCTGGATGCCCTCAGATGTGTTCTGCTGGATTCCCGTGAAGTGCATTCAGTCCCCCTTGTCCAATCCATGGTATTAATCAAGAGTTATGAAAAAGGCAGCAGTGGGTAGGAAAAACAGAGGACAAGGGCAGGTGACCAAAATGATAGTGACAGGCAGCGCCAGCTGGCAGGGAGCTGCCACAGGACTCCACAGCACATGTGACAGAAGGCACTAGCAATAACAAGGCCAAGGCAGTAAGTCTCGGAAGTTATACTGAGCTAAGGACCGACTATAAGCACCATGCCTGCCATCATGAAGATGCCACTCGTTTGAGGTGCTGTGCCTGAAAGATACTGACTATTAGAAATGCTGTGTGCTTTCGACGCAAAACAAAGTTGAGGCCAAGATATACCCCAAATCAGAAGAAATTATTATTTTCCATCTCTGGATGTTACTGGTTTGCATATTATTAGAGTTCTAATTTTGTTGCATTTTTCAAGGGTTAGTACAGTAACTACACAAAAGACAACATGGAACTACTAAAGTTATTATTGCAAACCTTAGATATCCACCATTTCTACAGCACATGGCATTGCACCTTGATAGACAACAGTTGTATCTGATTACATTTAATTATCCATTCTTACACAGAATGTCTGATCAGAACGAAGTTAAACAAGTTCAAGCTCTGCCACTCATACACGCTTTTGAAGCTGCCTGGCTCTTTTTATCTGCTTAGTCTCAAAAACAAAGGCAGAAAATCTTTTTTGATATGGTACCTAGAAATGTTGCACATACACATAAATGTGACTTCATATGTTAAAAGCATATGTTATTCTATGTATAAAAATGAAAATTATCGTACTTGCTATATAGCCAACAAAAATAGCCTGTATGTGTTTAGAAAATAAAACATCTGTCCAGTTGAGTACAGAGACCAGCATCTCACATTGTTAATTTTCTTGACGAGTAACAAATAAACCTGAAAGCTACAGATTTAGAAAACTTACAGTTTATGTTCTGTGAGTTCCAGAAAGGCTGAGGACAACTCAGCGCAGTAAGAGCACAGAAAAATAGAGCATTAGAATAAAAGCACTGGAATAACTTAATTTACTAGGAGGAAGAATTCTAGCTAAAAATAGCTACCAAATCATCCTTGTTGGTAAAGAGCAAGGACTGCATTGCATTGCACTGATTAGCCCAAATACCTTTCACAAGACTGCCTTCTGAAGCTGCCAGCAATATATATAGTCTGAACATGGATCAGATAATCTACCTCTATGGTGCTGTTGATGGGGTGTGGGGAAAATAAGGCACGCAATGTCCCTGTTATCAACACTGCCTTTATATTCAGTGTTACTGTGGCTACTGTCTCATCCAACATGCATTCTGGAGCCATCCTCCTTATACTCCAGTGTTCTTCTCCACAAATAAAATCTGTGGGCCAAAATCATGAAGTCTTCACTCATTATTACCAAGTCCTACTCATGCAAGGCTCTCATGGAAGTTGACAGGATTTTCATCTGAGCATGAAGTTACACCCACAACATCAGGAATTTTAGCTCAATAGGACAATCAGGAATTCCACAATTTATGAAACATGCAAAGGTGCTCAACAGTGGCAAAGCTCTGGGTAACTCTGAAGTAAAATGGCTCACACATAATATACCACGTCAGTCACTGTAGATAGGAAGATGAGTTCAAGCTGATTAGTGGTAAATACAAGTTTTGGAGCCTTTTTAGTGTTCTGTAAATGTAAGTGAGGAAGTTATTCAGCTAATAAAAATCTAGAAACATCTCACAGAAATAGAAGCATATTTAGAAGAAATGTGCTAAAAACATCTAGGAGAAGCAAACCAATTTAAAGTTTTGGAAAAAATAGATGTGGTAAACAGTCCTGCAAATGATGTAGTAGAGATCTTTGAACACAACCAACCACCACCCCCCGCCCCAGGTTCCCCTTTTATAGGGAAACTGTATTGGTCTCTGCATAAGTAAAGCCTCTGAGCTCACCCCTCTGCCTGTACATTTAAGGGATCGACTGAATTCTCTGAAAACACCTTTAGGAAAATCTCTCTTTCTTTGCTCTTTTTATCCAAAGGGAAAACCTAAAACTGACAGTAAGTCAGCAAATCATGAGGCAGCCAGCTGACGAAATACACTGTGCTGTTAATAAATTTTAGGTTAAGCACTAGCTCTGGTTTGTACCTAGTGTAGTGCTGAGCATACTGGATCAACGGTTATGAGTAAATAGAGATCTTTATTCGCTATTGATTTTTTATTAATTGTCAGCATAATATCCTTGAAGTTCACTTACTGCACTGCCAGTTGGTAAAACATTACATGTTAGTATATATATGTGAAGATTTACTAAAAAAAAATTTCACAAAAGATTAAAGTAAAACACAGCTTAAAGTATACAAAAGCATATTTCATCTTTTCAGTTGCTGAAGATGTAATGTTTTGCATGCAAAATATTTTTGCTTAATACAATCTAATTTTTGATTAAGCATTGCACTTCCTTTCAGAAATCACACTTTTCCATTCTGACAAATCAAATCCATAGCATTTCATTATGTCTTCTAACTTTTTCTAGTTGAAGTGTTAATAATAATCTTTAATCGCTAGAAATGTGTGCTTTTGACTATCGTAAATTAGACACAAATGTAAAAAAGATGGTGAAAAAGGTAAATGCAGAATGAGGGTAACGGTCTCCCTAACAATTGGTGCAAATTATCAAAGGAAACAGAGATACTGTTTCAACTGAGAAGCCAACACTCCTTTTCACACATAATACAAGTGTGCAAAACAATTATGCTACAGAAAATGCCACAAATCATTACTGCAAACATACCTTTTTAAGGATGATGGATTAGAGGCATGTAGATTGTGACAGCACACAAAATGGCAGCTACGGCGTAATACTCAGTAAATGAAACGTTATCAAGTTTCTCAAGAGCAAAAGCAGTTGTCTGCATGTAGAAGGGACCTAGCCTCCCCAGGCTGAATAACCGCAAGGAACAAGTTAAAATACCACAGCATTTCAGATTAAGGAAGTGAGTAGTGGCGGGAGGCCCTGACACACAGGAAGTAACTGCTTACATCTAGTGTTTTACATTTTTCACCACCGCTGGTGCACAAAGACTTTTCCCACTTCTACTTATTGGATCTCACAAAAATAAGAAAAAACTAGAAGTCTGGGAAGAAGGGGAATATCAAAATCTTAGTCAGTTTTATTTATGGCGTAGTATGTTTGAAGAATACCCATCCTCCTGAAAGGCAATTAAAAAGATCTGGCATTTCTTCCCTTTGTCATAAGGGCAGTGTCACATGGTCTGACTTCTTCAGAGCGGGATTACACGTGGAAGGCTGAAGATGATTCGGAGACACATAGCAGTTGACTCAATTATATCTATGCCAACCAGGGCATACTTCGGCATTTCTCACTTAACATGCTTACTCTACAGCACTGAAAAACAGGTCAGTGTGCTGTCTCTGCTGCTAGCTCTGGAAACTGTGTATTAAGCCAAGCTAGCTGAGCTTTCTACCCTTCTCCACCTTTCTTTTTTTCTCTTTATTTACTGACCTCCTTTTGCAAATCGTCTGTGGTCACCACACAATGCATTTACTTGACGGAGTTGAATGTTTCCAGCAAAGAGAGGATGTAATATACTCCAACACTTACTAATTAACTCTGATTTGTGGTAGTATGCAGAAAGACTGCCTATTTCAGGTTCCAAGGACCATTCTCAGTTTTTTCAAATGCATAATTTCCTCAGCTCACCAGGGAGAATTTTTAACAGCTTCAGGCAGAAGCCAGTGGGAAGCAAGGCAACCTAAGAAAATCACTTAATTTACCCTAAAAACATTAAGCAATGTAGATGCCAAATCCGTGTTAAGAAGATAAACCCAGAACTTACCAGATGAAGAGTAGAAAAGCCGGGGGTACTTAAGCTTCGTTGACAGAACTGCGCAAAGCCTGGTTGCAGAGTAAATTGCTTTCTTATTTCTGCAGAGGAGTGCCTTTAATTAAGCAGAGAAAAACCCTTATAATTACAATTATCCTCATACAAATTCCAAATGCCAGACTTCAGCCAACTTAGTCTGCTGTCCCAGTGTTTAGAAATGTATTTTGATGATGTTCTAGACTCCTCTTGTTTTGCAGTTGATGGAAACCTCAAAAAACATTTGCAGTCCAATAGATTTCTATCATTATATTGCAGTCCTTGTGACTGGGAAAGGCTATGCAAGAACAAATAACCTTGCCCTTAAGTGAAGTGTGACTGCAACGTGTACAGCAATACTTACAGATTCATTTCTGCAAAGCAAATACACAGGATAGTAGAGCAGAGAAAGAAAAATGAACATCACAGAGGCAAATATTTTAATGAACTAGTAATTGACCAAGGGATAAAAACAAGACAGGACCACTCACTGAACAGTGTAAGCCCAGACTTACATTAATAATGCAGTCTGCTGTGAAAAACACAAGACAATCCACAGCATGAATTTAAAAATCAGCCTATACTGTATCAGCTGAACATTTGAGGAAAAGACTTCTTAAGTGCTGAGTAATTTTTTTCAATGGGAGCAGAAAGGGGCCAGTACTGAATTCTTAAGAAATCTCACAGTGATACTACAGTTGCATGTACCCAATCTGAAAATTCAGTAATCAGAGTAGCTTGGTCATTTTTCATGGAAACAAATCAATTGATATTTAAGATGATTTAAGAATAATCAGCCATGAAATGGTAATAAAACATCTACAATATATTTCACCAAGAACATTCAGGACAAGATTTTTAAAAGATCAAGATGCACTTAAGCAGATTCCAAGTGAAAAAAAAAAAACCTGCAGCCCACCAGGGCCGCCAACGGGGGGACAGGAAAATACAGAGGTAAGAAGACTTTCCCTTCGATATGAGACTCTCTTCCAACTCCAGCAAGCATTAATAGACATCTTAGAATTACCAGACGCCACAGGAAAGTATGCCTGTTTGGTCTGAACCTTCTCTCTCCTATGGCCGCTTGATTTCTACAACTACTATACTTAGTCTGTGACACTCTCTTACTACTGCTTTTCTTAACAAGCATAACAAAAACCTAAACTCCACTCAATGCAGTTGTGCTTGTGTTAAGAGCCAGGCATCTCACAGAAGGTATTAAAGGTATTAGAGGTATCAGGCCTGATTTCTAAAAAAAAAGAATGCATAAATAGGAGTAGTTGCTTGTAGGTCAAAAGGCCACGCCAGGTGTGAGTGGGACACTGCTCCAGTCTGAAGGCAGCAGCAATTGCAGACAGAGCAAAGCCAGAGTTATAGAGAAAGAAAAGAGATCCATTTGGAAGGGAAATTCCTACTCATCAGTGGTATTTCAAAAATCAGATAGGATGAAATGGAATTTTTTTAAAGGTTATTCAATAATTATATAAGCAAGAAGCCACGTAGGGAGAGTGAAGAAGTCTCTGCGTTCCTTAGATTATTTTTGCCCTATTTTAAAAAGAAAAGCTGCTTGTATATCAAGGTTATTGTTACTCATCTTCCCACTGCAAATAATCTCTGATCATGAGTGTATGTAGCAAGATATAACACAAAAGTCAAGTTATTCAAAATTATTTTTTCCTTCAAACTGAGTCAGTTTCTACCCTGTGCAGAAGTATCTGTTACTGGTGTAAATAACAGATGTAGCAGCAGATGTTGGCTTAATGTATGTAAAAAACTGTATTACGGTGTATTGCAGAAGTTGGTGCTGTAAACAATGATATAACACATCTCTGAATTACCCCAGATATGGGGTCATCAGACTCTCTGAAGAGGAAATGGTATGAATTTTCATCCACAAAAGAGGAAGTATGCATGTGGATGAAGGGCCAAATTTGCTGTCTGGTAAAAGCCTGTGCAAGCCCAGCTAATGTTTCTCAAGAGCACCGGCATTAGTTCCAGAGTCTCCCCAATATTCAAAGAAAGAAACTACAAAATAAATCAGTCCAATTGAAGAAGAATCCTGTAATCTATAAAGATGAATTTCAAATTGTTTAAGAGTAGTTCAATTGATTGATTTAATGTTTTTCATATCACTGAAGGAAGAAAGGGAGAAGAAATACAGTTAGAATAACAGAATACAGCAAAGTTGGTTTGAACCAACTCAGAAATGATTGGCAGGATCTACTAAGAATAGGTGAAGGAAAGACACAGCTGCTAAAAGACACTAAACCAAAAGCACAAGTTAGCTACCCCAACATGGAGAAAAGGTGGGTGTTACAATCAGAGATCAGCATGGAAAGTTTTGAAAACCTGAGAACCAAGGTGGAAACAGAGGTCCTTCTAGACGGTTCTTCGACAATCCCAGAATGGCTGTGGTCTCCGAGATGCCTGTTTTCTGATCAAACAGCTACCTCAGACACTGTCTGAGTACCCACAGGAAAATGGTGGTCCATGTTAACCTAGCGTATGTGGTGTCCAAGCTTTTATGGAGGCTGCAGTCCATCTATGCCATGGCCATACTTTTAACCTGTCTGCTTCAGAGGAGAGCTTTACAGGCGCCCTTAGCAGCAAGGACAGTCTAGCTGTGTGCTAAAAAACAGTAAGGAAAGAAGGCAAGTGATTAAGGATGAATGCAAAGCAGTCACTGAAAAATCTGAGCAAAAAAGGCAACTAGATCTCTAGAAAGGAGGACTCAAATAATCATGGACCAGTCAGCTGGCCTCTGACACTCAAAAAGATAGTAGAGCAACTTACTGGACAATCAACTTATAAGTAGCTGGAACATCAGGTCCCAAACTGTGGTCTCCAGTTGAAGCAAGGTGACCATGAAATCATACTTAACATTAAAATGTACATCACCTTAGTAATGCCTGTTTATTCATAGTCTGATGATGACGTGTACGGTGGGCAACTAGAAACTGTGGACTCTAGTAAGCGATGGTCCAGAAAGTTTGGCAATTATTGGTATATTATTGGCAATTATTAGGTAGTGATGAACAGCCAATAGTGGCTAGATGGAATCATCACAGCTGGTTCCAACACTGGTTAAAAAAACATATTGAAGGTGTAGTCATCAATAGTTCAAAAGAAGATTGTGAGGAGATTTCAAACAATGTACTACTGTAAATGAGAAGCAAGTTAATTCTTCCTCAGTCTAGTTCCAGTCCACATTTTATTTTATGACATTGGTGATGGTATAGGTAACATAGTAATAAAATCTGTGGATCACATCAGACGGGAAGAAGTTGTGAGGGCTCTGAAAGGCAGGACTAGCACTCAAAATGATCTCGTATTTTAGAAACAATCTGAAAACAGCACAGTTAGATTCGTTAAAAATAAATGTAAACTCCTAAACTTAGGAAGAAGAAAAAATCAAATGCAGAAATACAAAAAGGGAACTGAACTGTCTAAAGAAATAGCCATGCCACAGAAGAAGCTCTGAGAGAGTATACTGGGACACTTACTAACAAAGTACCATAAGTGAGGAAAAGGAGAAGTTATTTGTTTATTTAAGCCAATGAGACACTCCTTAGGCTGGTGTACACACTTAGAACACCACAGAGTAAGATGCAATCAAATTTAAAAGGCTTCAAAAGAGAGCAGTCAGAATGCTAAAAATTTTGGGGAGGATGACGCCTGAGGGAAGATTGAAAAAAATAGATGTGTTACAAAAGAGATGACTGAGGAGAGACAACAGTTGTCCTCGACCATGTAAAAGGTAGCAATCTGTAAAGAAAACAGTAAGCAATTCATGCCCATAAAGGGAAGAAGAAGAAGTAATCTGCTCAAATTGAAGCAAGAAAGATTTGTTAAGCTATTAGGAAAAATGTTCCCACTGCAACGGCAGCAGGACACTGGAAGTGGCCATCTGGTGACGCTACAGTGACAAGAGCACACTGGCAATGTAGATCATATCTCTGAACTACCTGGAGAACAGCATCTGGGCAACTGCAAGCCTTCCAGAGACTAGCAATGGGACTCAGCAGTGTTAATAGCTCTACAGATCTCTCATGTCGGTACTTGTCACTTTTTTTAGGATAAAGAGGAAACACTAGCTGAAAAGAAAAAGGTGTAGATTTGGGGGAGTTTTTTTCCACAAAAGTCACTGCTGAATTCAGCGTTAGTCAGTGTTCATATGGCATGTTGCAAGACAGTGTAAGCCTGTGGAAAGATGGGAGATTATGGCAGCCTAAAGCTCTTCTGGACTTTTTAGGTCCTTGGTTGCTCCATGGTGTTGGAGCGAAATAACGTCAACTGGAATTCATTGCTCCACTCTGTGTTGCCTCGGCCATACCTGAATGACAATGCCATACTCCTCTGCTGTAAATCTTGAAAAAGCTGGAACTCACCAGACTTCCTGATCTACCCAGATGGGACTGGAGGGTAGCCAAAAAAAAAACCCCAAAACAAAACTGGTGCTGCTTACTCAGAATTTCACCAGTGTCTGTCCCAATGGTAGATGCAATCCTCCAGCAATTCTCCTGAATTGCTAACAAAAAGTTGAGACATAGTCTGTATTTCACAAATACTCTCCAATGCAAAGTATAGAGTTTGCATAATATATTAAAACAATAGTGTAACCGAAGTAACAGACTACACCTGGAGGTTCTTAAAATTAAATTTAAGTTGTAGGTCAAATTCTGAGATGTTTCTCAGGGCAGAGCTCATTGCAGGATTGGGAACTTGGAGATTTGGGTTATTGGTTGGGCGTAGATGAGGTATCAGGAAAGAAAGATAAAATAGCCATTTATTTTCTCTCTCTAACATATGTTAGATCTGTGGCTGAACACTGCTGGGTTCTATAATAAAAATTATATGAATGCTCATAATGCATAAAGCTGGTTCTGTAGTTTCACTATAAGTTCTGCTCAACAATACAGTTCTTTGAAATATGTAGTTTAAAAGTAGTATCTACTACGTATCTACATATCTAGTATGTAGATCATATGAAAACTTAAACACAGAACAGCAATTTAGAAATAAAACAGAAAAAGAACAGCTTTAA